CAGTCTGCTTAAGTAGAAGTACAGATACTTGTGTAAACAAAAACAAATTTGGTGAATTAGAATGACCGATTGAACCATTTTACTGCAGTGTAAATAAAGCAGAGTACTGTTGAATACTGTGGTTTAAAAATTCAAATTTAGAGAATAAAAAAATTCATGAGGAAAATAAATACTCAAGTAAAGATACCTGGAAAAAATGTACTTATGGACAGAAACGAAGCATTTGTACATCGTCACGTCCCACCGCTGTTTAACTTATACCTCAGCCTGTAGTTCTTTGACCATGTTGTGTGTAATATTCCAGGTGACTGAAGATGAAAAAGTTTCCACAGTGAAAGAGCTCGTCTCGGAACGTCTCAACATCCCAGCCAATCAGCAGCGGTTGCTTTATAAAGGCAAAGCGCTTGCAGGTACCTTTTTGTTAACCATGGTGCCTGCTCCATCAACCCAACTCAATTTTTTTTTTACTTTTTAATCCACTGTAGATGGATATTAAGTACATTATTCATCCAAAATGAAAATTCCTTGTGTGTGATTGTTACCATCACTTGTACCTTTAGATGAACACAAACTAAGTGACTACTCCATTGGGCCAGAAGCCAAATTAAACCTGGTCATCCGTCCAGCGGGCGAAAGGACCGGGGCTTCAGGGACGACGGCCACGTGCAGCAGCAACGGCAGCATAACACAAGCGGGAGTGTGGCAGACTGTGTCCACTATCCTCGCAAAACACTTCAGTCCCGCAGATGCTGCCAAAGTCCATGAACAGCTGATTAAGGTACTGTATCTGTTAAGTTTAGGACATGGGAATTTAACAGCAGTTCAATCGGCTTACATATATAAAACCAAACGTCTGTGTCGTATGACAAAAAATAGGCTGCACTTTTGTAAAAATATGTAGAGTAAAACTGTCTAAGTCAAGGTACCACTGTATTTGGATACAGAACAAAAGTCCAACAAAAAAAGTGTTTGTCTCCTTATTATACGATCCAATACATCTTTGCTTATATCGCACTTTCACAACAGCTGCAGCTTTAACAAAGCGCTTT